TAAGTGCACCCATGTCGTGCAATGCCTGTGGAGGTCAGAAGAGAGCATCAGATTCCCCTGGAACTGGAGTTACTGACGCTTGTTAGCTGCCATGTAGGTGCTGGGAATCAAGCCTGGGTCCTCTGCAAGAGCAGCCACTCCTCTTAACTTCTGAGCCATCTTTCCAACCCCAATGTTGTTGTTTTTCTTTTAATATTTTTATTTTATATGTATGAGTATTTTGCCTACATGTGTGTAAGGGCACCACATGGGTGCCTAGAGATCAGAAGAGGATGTTGGATCCCCCAGAACTAGAGTTAAGGACAGTGTTAGCCACGATGTATGCTGGGAACTCAAACCAGGTCCTCTGGAGGAGCAGTAAGTACTCTTAACTGCTGAGCCATCTCTCCAGCCCCAACATAATGATATATTCTTGTTTTTGTTTTTCTTTTGAAACAGGGTCTTACTATATAGCCTTGGCTTGTCTGGAACATGCTGTGTAGACCAGGCTAGCCTTGAACTCAGTGATCCCCTTGCCTCTACCTTCTGAGTGCTGGGATTAAAGGCATATGCCGCCACACCTGGGATACAATTTTGGTTTTTTATTGTTTTGTTTTAGTTTTGGTCTTTTTGAGACAGGGTCCCCCTGTAGCCCCAGCTGGCCTGGAACTCACTATGTAGACTAGGCTGGCCTTGAACTCACAGTGCCTCTGCCTCCCGAGTGCTGGGATTAAAGGCATGCGCCACCACATCAGGCTTTCCAGCCCTTGCTTTTTTCTTTTAAAATAATTTTATCGGGGCTGGAGAGATGGCTCAGAAGCTAAGAGCTGTGGTTGCTCTTCCAAAGGACTTGGGTTTGGTTCTCAGCACCTATATGGTAGCTAACAACTGTCCCAAACTCCAATTCCAAGGCATCAGACGCCCACTTCTGGCCTCCGTGGGCATTGCCTGACATGAGTGCACTTAAATACATGCAGGCAAAATACTCATAGACATAAAAACAAATAAAAATAAAATTTTAACTTTTTTCCTGTTATGTATGTCTGCGTGCTTGTGTAACTTTGCATGCAACATGTATGCAGGAGCCTCCAGAGGTATCAGAGCCTATAGAACTGGAGTTACAGGTGACTGAGTCACACCATGTGGGTGCCAGGACCTGAACTTGGGTCCTCAGCAAGAGCAGCAAGCACTCCTAACCATTGAGCCATGTCTCCAGCCCCCACGTTTGCCTTTTTAAATACTTAGTATAACATCTTGTTCAGAGTTGGAGCCCAATATTTTTTGAATGATCAGTGTAATTAATTCCTTAGCAAGAAAAAGATGTACCTTCTTTGAGATCCTCAGAGAATGACTACTAGTCTAATGAGCTATACAAGTAGCTTATTCTAGGACACAGGTTATCACAGTATATTTAATCAGTTTTTTCTTGATGGTTATTTGGATTTTTTCCAATGCTTTGCTATTCTAAAAATGCCATCAAAGACTTCACAGAATGTGTCAACTGGAGTCCAGCAATATTCCTTCCTGGTCTGCAAACCATGAAGGCAAATACATGTCTTTCATCTTCCATTGTAACCCCCATATCGGGTATTACTTAAATAGCCTTAAGATTATGTTGACTAAATCACATTGTTTAGTCAGGAAAAGAACCATGTCATTCAGGCAGTGATGAGTTTTGAAAAGACTAAATTTTAAAATATTTCTTATTTTCTGTGTATGAGTGTATTGCCTGCATGTAGGTAGGTGCACCCCTGTCGTGCAATGCCTGTGGAGGTCAGAAGAGGGTGTCGGATTCCCCTGGAACTGGTTTTATGGATGGTTGTTAGGTGCCATGTGGGTGCTGGGACTTGAACCTGGGTCCTCCGCAAGAGCAGCCAGTGTTCTTAACCACTGAGTCATCTCTCCAACCCCAAGACCCTAAATTTTCAATTTAAAAAATTATTGTGTGTGTGTATACGATGTGTGTGTGAGTGCAGGCACATACCATAGTGTGCATGTCGAGGTCAGAGGATAACTTTGTGAAGTCAATTCTCTTTCTACCTTTTTTTTTCGTTTTAATTTTTATTTTATGTGTATGCCTGTATTGCCTGCATGTATGTAAGTGCACCCGTGTCATGCAATGCCCACGGAGGACAGAAGAGGCTGTTGGATCCCCTGGAACTGGAGTTATGGACAGTTGTTAGCTGCCATGTGGGTGCTGGGATTCGAACCCGGGTCTTCTGCAAGAACAGAGTTCTTAACCGTTGAGCCATCTCTCCAGCTACCCCGCTTTTTTAATCAAAATCCCCATGACATTCTTCAGAGTTGGAAAAAACCATCCTAAGATTCATATGGAAGCACAAAAGACCTCCGATAGCCAAAGCAACCCTGAGCACAAAGAGCAATGCCGGGGGATTACTATACCAGATTTTAAGCTGTATTACAGAGCTATAGTCATAAAAACAACAGGGTACTGGCACAAAAATAGACCCCTAGATCGATGGAACAAAATTGAAGACCCAAATTTGAGTAAATGCAATTTCAGCCACCTGATTTTTGACAAAGGGGCCAAGAACATTCACTGGAGGAAAGACAGCAAGTTCAGCAAAGGGTGCTGGCAAAACTGGATCTCCACTTGTAGAAGAATGAAACTAAACCCCTATCTTTCACCTTGCACAAAAGTCAATTCCAAATGGATCAAAGACCTCTTTCTACCTTTTATGTGGGTTTTGGGATCAAACTCGGGAACTGGGATCGAATGCACGTGCCTTTTCAATGGCCTGAGACTCTAAATATGTTTTAAATTTTCATTTGATTATTATTTTGGTCTTTTTGAGCCAGGGTCTCCCTGTAGCCCTAGCTGGCCTGGAACTCACTATGTGGACCAGGCTGGCCTCGAACTCACAGAGATCCGCCTGCCTCTGCCTCCGGAGTGCTGGGATTAAAGGCGTGCGCCACCACACCTGGCTTAATTTGATTATTTCAAGCATGTTTTTCTCTAAGAATTCCATGCATACATACAATGTAGTCTGATCATATTCACCCACAACTCCTCCCCTAACTCCTCCTAGACCTGCCCCAGCCCTACAACTTTGTCCTCTTACTTATTTTCATGACCCACTGAAGTCTCTCAGTTAGGTTCAGAACTATGTCTGTTTTCCCTCTATGCCCCTCCCCGGCCCTGTTCCCTTCCACTCCTTTGTTTCCTAAGCGCCCTGACTGATGGAGGATGTTGTGGTATTTTTATTATCATAGGCACCTGATTTAGACTTTTTGTGGCTTTCAGCTTGGGTCCAAAAATAGTCGTCTTTCCTTAGCACCTTTGACATTGGCAGTTAACTTGAGGTTTGCTCATGGCCTTCCCCCCACCCCCACAGTGCCCGGCAAGTGATTTGGAGAACCAGCGTGTTAGAAGAAGAACTTGAGGAGCTGAAAGCCAGGGTGAACGCTTCAGAGGAGCAGAAGACCTTGACCATGGCCCAGAACAAGCAGTTTGTAAGTCATTAAGAATGGGGAAATTAGCACCGAGGTCGCGTGACAGAAACACAGGTAGGCTTGACTTAGTGACAGAGCACTTACAAAGCATGCACGAAGTCGTGACTTCAATTCCAAGCACCTCAGAGACATGGGGGGGAGGTACTTGGTTGTAAAATAATAGGTTGATGAATGAATTGGTGGAACTTTAGGAAACTACAGGCAAATAGGATTAAAAACTACTTTTCAGGACAGCTCAGCAGGTAGAAGACAGAACTAACTCCCGCAAGTTTTCCTGTGACCTTCACATGTGTGTTGTGGTATGTGTGCATGTGCACATACATAAACACATAAGTAATAAAAACTTTAAAAAATCGTTTTTCTTCAAGATTAAAATTCTTAGCCAGGCATGGCAGTATACATCTACAGTCCCAGAATTTAGGAGGTGGAAGCATGTGGATCAAGTCCAAAGTCATCCTCAGTGACATTATGACTTCAAGGTTGACATGGACTACTTGGGGCCCTGTCTCAAACAAAACAAAACAAACTATAAGTGTCTCTGTCATAATAGTTGATGAAAACCTAAACTCCCTGTAATATTTCCCAAAGTTGGGAAATGAGTTCTTAAACATGACAGAAAAGCTGTGGAAGGCGGTGCTCCTCACCTCAGGACGAGAAGCTCAAGGAAGCTTAGGTGCCCAGCGTTCAGGCCATTTCTGTCTTCTGAACATCTTGTATCCTTACTGCACTGGCCGAAGCCCAGGGTCCTACATACTCAGTCTCACTCCTTTGCATTTTATACTGTTTTATAATTTCTTTTTTAATTTTATTTCATTTTTTAAATTAAAAAAAAATTTTGGTCTTTTTCAGACAGAGTTTCCCTGTAGCCCCAGCTGGCCTAGAATTCTCTGTGTAGACCAGGCTGGCCTTGAACTCGTGGAGATCTACCTGTCTTTGCCTCCTGAGCACTGGGATTAAAGGCATGCACCACCATGCCCAGCACTGTTTTATAATTTCAAGAGAATTTTTAATATTTTTTGAATATATTTTATGTGTATGAGTGTACTGCCTGCATGTAAGTGCACCCATGTTATACAGTGCCTGCAGAGGTCAGAAGAGGGCATCAAATCCCCTGGAACTGGAGTTACAGACAGTTGTTAGCCACCATATGTGTGCTGAGAACTGAAGCCAGATCCTCTGCAAGAGCAGCCAGTGCTCTTAACCGCTGAGCCCTCTCTCCAGCCCAGATAATTTTTAATATTTTACCTCATTAGTAAACACAAAGATTCTGTGAGACAGAAGTGGATATTGTTGTAGTTTCCTGTGTGTTGCTTAAATTTACTGGAATGATAGAGTCTAGTACTGTTTTTTAATTGATTTTTTAAATTATGTGTATGTCTATATGTCTATGTGTGGGTTTATGCACAGAAGTGCAGGTGCCCTTGGAGGCCAGAAGAGGGCGTCAGATCCCCTGGAGCTGGAGTTACAGGCAATTGTGAGCTATCTGATGTGGGTGCTGGGAATTGAACATCTGGTCCTCTAGAAGAGCAGCAAGTGCTCTTAGCCACTGAGCCATCTCTCCAGCCCAGTCCTGTACTGTTTTAATGGTTCAAAGACACTTGTCTCATAATTGTTGGGACTGGAATCAAATTCAGGTTTCTGACTGCAGGCAGATGATATGTGGTGTTCCTATATTTATTTATTTGACTTGGAAGAGAGCTCTGTACAAAGGGTGTGTACACAGTCATGGGATGAGCACAGGTGTTCTCTGCAGGAATCACCATTGGCTCCCTTCAACAAAAGCCTAGCCTGGGAGATTTCTGCCTTGTTAGAAAAGCAATGTCTGTTCACTCTAAAAACATTGCATATTAACAAGGAAAAAAAAATAGCCCTGGCTTCAAAGACTGCTCAGTGGGTAAAAAGCACGAGCTGTCAAGGCTGACAACCTGAATTCAACGCCTGGGACCCACATGGTGGATGGAGAAAACAGACTGGACTCCCAAAGAAAGGGGACTCTGACCTCCACACCCGAACATACGAAATATTTTTTAAAACGTGGAGCTGGAGAAATGGTTCAGTGATTAAGAGTACTGGCTGCTCTTGCAGAGGACCTGAGTTCGATTCCCAGCACTCACATAGTAGCAAACAATCATCTACAACAACTCCAGTTCCAGGGGAATCTGATTCCCTTGTCTGATCTATGCAGGCTTTGCACAACACAGGTGCATGTACATATATATGCAGACAATACACTTACATAAAATAAAAACAGTTTTTAAAAATGTAAACCCAGGGCTGGAGAGATGGCTCAGCAGTTAAGAGCACTGGATGTTCTTACAGAAGACCCGGGTTAGAATCCCAGCACTCACATGGCAGCTAACAACTGTCCATAACTCCAGTCCCAGGGAATCCAACAGCCTCTTCTGTCCTCCACAGGCATTGCACGCCATGCGTGCACTTACCTACATGTAGGCAATACATGCATACACATAAAATAAAAATAATAAATAAAATATTTTTAAAAATTAAAAAAATGTAAACCCCCATGAAATCTTTACTTCAACCTAGTCATGAGGTCCACTGTTAGCATGTTGGCAAATGTCGTGTCCTGGAATAATTTTTCTTCTGATGGTTTGAGCTCAAGGCTATGAATGGGAAAACAGTTTTTGATGTTTGTCTGCTATGGTGACATTGACTCTGGGGCTAGCCACAGCCTCAGGTAGAAGTCTGGAAGTCCTGATGGAGTTGAGGTCAAAGATAATATGTGGTGTGAATTATTGGGGGGAAAAGCCACGTGGCTGGTTTATGATCTTCCATCTCTTCCTAATATCGTGCTGTATAGAGAAAAGACTTCACTGGTACAGAAACAACAAACTTTGAAACGTTTTAGGCCAGGCATGGTGGCAAACACCTGTGATCTCAGAACTTGGGATGGCTGAAGGATATCCTGGGCTACATAGCAAGACCTCGTCTAAATGAATAAACACAAAAGAAAATACTTTCAGGGGCTTGAGAGATGGTTCAGCTGTTAAGAGCACTGGCTGCTCTCATAGAGGACCCGAATTCAATTCTCGGAATCCACATGGTAGCTAACAACTGTCCATATCCAGTTCCAGGGGATCCGAGGCCTACTTCTGGCCTCCACAGGCATTGTAGGCATGTGGCGCACTTACATATATGCAGGTAAAACACTCACATAAAATAAAAATAAACATTTTAAAGAACAATTGATTTTATTATGTATATGAGTGTATTGCCTGCATGTGTGTAAGTGCACCCGTGTCGTGCAATGCCCGTGGAGGACACAAGAGGCTGTTGGATCCCCTGGACCTGGAGTTACAGACAGTTGTTAGCTGTCATGTAGGTGCTGGGAACCAAACCCGGATCCTCTGTAAGAGCAGCCAATGCTCTTAACCACTGAGCCATCTCTCCAGCCCCAACGTAATTTTTTAAAAGAGAATGTCTTCAAAGCAGGCTCAGTTGTGACATGTGAGTACCAGGAAGCAGTAAAGGGAAAGCCTGTCACACAGCCTTGGGAGAAAATATGCAGAATTGTTACAAAATCCCTAATTTTAGTGGATTTTTGTTGTTTTTCCAGGAGACGGAAAACAGGGCTCTGATTCTTCAGATTCGGATTCTTCAGGAAGAGGTGCGTCAAAATCATTACGTGCTGGTGTGGACAACTGGGGACACACACAGCCACGGGCTCCGAGTTAGCAGCCTGGTTCTTCAGGCCTCGCTGTACAACGGCGGGCTGATTTTTCAGATGACAGGTGATGAAGGACAGATAGGACTTTCATATCCAAACAAATGCCTTATTACTTCAATTACCTGTGGAAAAACGGGAGTTAAGTTGGTTCTCTACTCCAACCATATATATGGGTTCTGGGGATCGAATTCAGGTTGTCAGGTTTACTGGAAAGTGCCTTTACCCCCTGAACCATCCTATGGGCCCAAATTTACAACTTTTGCTTACTGCTTACATCTGTTTTTGTTTACTTGTTTTTTGTTTGTTCATTTGTTTTGAAGTGCTAGGGTCAAACCCAGGACTCTACACATGCTAGGTAAGCACTCTACCACCAAGCTGGAGTATACTCCGGGCCAGAATATTTTTCGTGGAGGACCTGACAGTCCATCTTTCCTGGCTTTTCTGTCCAAAGGCCTTTGCTCACTTTTGCAGCGTGACAGCAGCCAGACAACATGGAAACACAGGAACTCCACTGTGAATGGATAAAACCTACTTGGCAGAAACAGAGGGTCAGCCAGATTTGGCTTCTGGGGTGGGCAGCTTGCTCTGATCCCTGATTGACATACATGAAGAGTGAATAGACCAGGATTATACATACGATCACCAGTAAGCACGGAGCCTAAAGGTCACAAAGCTCTGACATGGTGGGTTTCTTCACCTGTCATATTTATCTGAGGGGTGCTGGCATGGAGCCAGTGGCAAGCTAATTTGAGTAAGAAAAAAGTATGGGGGCTAGAGAGATGGCTCAGCAGTTAAGAGAACTGACTGCTCTTGCAGAGGGCACGGTTTCGATTCCCAGCACCCACGTGGCAGCTACGAACCATCCTTAACTCCAGTTCCAGGGGAATCCGAAGCCCTCTGACCTCTGCGGCATTGCATGACATGGGTGCACTCATACATGCAGGCAATACACTTGTACACATAAAATAAAACATTTTTTAAGTATAAAAAAAGTATGCACCAGGGACCTTGGGCATGTTAGGGTAATGATAATGACTATTGAAGAGATTAAGCCAGGGAGGATGGAAGGACCCATGGATTATAGGCTGTGGTAGTGACTGAAGGTTGGCTTGGTGGTGGTGTTGGATGGAACCTGGAAAGAAGATTGTGGTTGAAGAGCGAGATGCTCGTAATGCAGTTCATGGAGAGGCAGTGGTGCTCAGGAATGACAGATTGAAAGTTATTATTGGGAGTGAGTGACTGAACTGGGAGTTGCGGCGTGGAGGGGTTACTACTAACAGTATTCCAGGGTGATCAAAACCAAGGTATCACATTTGCTTCTTACATTTTATTTATTTTTATGTGTATGAGGGTTTCGCTTGCATGTAAGTGCACCTCTGTTGTGCAGTGCTTCTGGAGGCCAGAAGAGGGCAGTGGATCCCCTGGAAGATGGTTGTTAATTAGCTGCCATTTGGTGCTGGGAACCCAACCTGGGTCCTCTGTAACAGCAGCCAGTGCTCTTAACTGCTAAGGGTCTCTCCAGCCCCTTAAAGCATCATGTTTATGGACAAATCTAAAGTTTTATCCATCAGTGAAAACTGCAGTGTGGGTAAGGGGGGGCTCCCAAAATCCCACCTCGGATTGAAGAGCCATTGGGAGCTGATGGCTGGGGAAGGGAAAGTCATTGTTTTATTTGAGGGTGTGACCCCTGACAGGTTGCCCAAACCCCAATAAATGGCCCTACATCTGTGTGATATGAGCAGCACTAACTACACTTGATGGATTATATAAAAAAAGACAAGAGTCTGGGAGGGGAAGGGGGTGGAGTTAGAAGAAGAGTCAGGTGGGTATGATGAAACATAGTGCATGAACTTCTCATAGAAAGAATAAATCTTTAGTGAATAAATTGTAATGATTTTTTTTTGAAGCAGCCTTGCCATGTAGCCCAGGCTGGCCCAGGACTTGCTGTAGGGACCAGGCTGTCAACCTGCCTCTGCCTCCTGAGGCCCTGGGTTGTGGGAATGCACATGTTCAGTTGCAGTTCTAAGTTTTCACACTAGTGATGAAATACCACATCATCAGAGAGACTCCCCTGGGCTGCCCCTCTGTTTCCTGTGGTGCTAAATGTAAAACCATTATTTCCTTCTACGTTAGAATATCAAGAACGCCATGGACATAGACTTACTGGAAAAGAAGATTGAGGAATTATCTGAAACGGAGAAAGAACATCAGGTCAGCACTCCCCAAACCTGTAAAACATTTCCCTTGTGTCAAACCTATACCATTCTATGAAAGTGTGTGTGACTTGCATGACAACCTGAAATTCTCAGTTGTGAAATTTAAATGCCTAGAATGTCTGGATCAGAGGCAGGGCAATTTCTTTAACCTCATTGTATTCTGGAACCAACTTTAGTGAGTTCAGAGGCCATAAAATGCACCCACTGACTATGAAGTTGGTGAGTTTGGGCATATTCACATACCTGCTTACCAGGACTGAACTGACAGTCTTGTTTCCAGAAGGCCCTTTTATAATTTCTATGGCCCTAGGCAACCGATGGTCGATTTTCTACCTTTCTTCATTTATCTATCCTGGACTCTTGACGTCTGGAACTGTACAGCTTGTGGTCTTTTTATAGTTTCTTGGTTTCTTTGATATGTTTTTGGAACTCATCCATGCTCTGTACCAAGACTTCCTTTTTTTCTGAATAATATTCCCTTATATCAGTATACAATTTTAAAATGTTTTTTTATATTATTTTTGATTTATTTGTGTATGTGTGTGTCTGTGTCAGGGCAGAGGCCAGAAAAGGGTTTTGGAGCCCCTGGAGCTGGAGTTACAGGCAGTTGTGAGCCATCTAACATGGGTTTGGGAATTGAACTCAGATCCTCTCCAAGAATGATGTGCACTCTTAACCACCAAGCCATCTCTTCAGCCCAATATGTCATATTTAAAATATTTATTATTTATATTTTTGTGTATGAGTGTATTGCCTGCCTGTATGTAAGCATACCTGTGTTGTGCAATGCCTGAGGAGGTCAGAAGAGGGCATCAGATTCCTTGGAACTGGAGCTACAGATGGTTGTTAGCCACCATGTGGGTGCTGGGAACGGAACTTGGGTCCTCTGCAAGAGCAGCCTGTGCTCTTAACTGCAGAGCATCTCTCAGGTCCCAATACATCATATTAGTCTGGTCTTTAGTTGATGGACATCTGAGCTGGTTCCATTTCTTGGCTCTTGTGAACAGTACTACTAAGAATATCTGTACAAGTTTTTGTGTGAGTGAGCTTTTGCCTCTCTTGGTTAATAACCTGGGCACAGACTTACTGGCTCATGAGGCGATTTTTGTATTTAGCCTTTTTGAGGAACTTCCTGATTTCCAAAGTGGCTGAACCATTTCGCCTTCTACCAGCACTGCAGGAAAGTTCAAATCTTTGTCTTTGCCAGCAGCTGTCACTTGTCTTTTTAATAATAGTGGCATTTTCTAATTCAACAGCTTTGATTTTTTAAAAAATCCCCAGATCCAGAAAGGCTTCAGTAACCATATCTTCTTAATTATAAAAATGTGGAGGAGTAGGGGGGTATCTGTGCTGGACAGCATTAGTGTCAACCTGACACACCTGGGTTGAGGGAGCTTCAATTGGGGAATTTCCTCTATCGGACCTGTGGCCATGTCTGAGAGGCATCTTCTTGATGAGTGATGTGGGAGGGCCCAGCCCACTGTGGGTGGTGCCACCCCTGGGCACGTGGGCCTGTGTTGCATAAGAAAGCAGGCTGAGCAGGGACCAGGGGAGCAAGCTGGTAAGCAGCGTTCCTCCATGGCCTGCGCTGCAGCTCCTGCCTCCAGGTTCCTGCCCTGAGTTCCTACCTTGGGCTCTCTAATGAACTGTAACCCAGGAGATGTAAGCTGAATAAACCCTTTCCTCCCCAAGTTGGTAGCGGTCAGAGTGTTTTGTCACAGCAATGAAGAAACAAACCAGGACAGGGTCTATCCTTGATTACATTTAAAATGATCTGCAAGCAGGTGCTTCGTTTACCTTGTGCCTGAAGACTCTCCGTGTAGTGCCTGGTTTTGCTGTCATGGCTTCTTATCGGGAAATGGAAAGCACCTGTTCATAACATCATGAATTACGCCCTCTCACCATCTCAGTCGGTTATTTGTGCAACATTGTTTGTTTTTCATGTCTGAAATGATCTACTTAAATTCCATATCTCTGGGTGGAATATCCGCACCTCCTCGTAGAAGCCAGCATTGCTTGTGTGTGCACATTCACCGTAGCAGCTGTAATTCAGACATTAAAGTCAATTCTCTACTAGGAATGGCTGCTTTTGGAAAATAGAACTTTAATAAACTAATAAAGAGCTAGAGGTAGAAGGTGAGATCCTGTCTGCAAGGCTTAAACTTCATGACCTTGAACAGGGAGCTAACCTCCACACCTCAGATTCCTCATCTGTTAAATGGCTATGCTGGGTCTTGTTTGAAAGTTTCTGGGAAACTTCAGATGTTGTGTGAAAATATCTTTAGAGCTATAGAGACATCCAACGTACATAATTTTGATTCTGCTTCTATGTTGATTATTTTTCTAAGAAGCCTGTACCATCTAGCTCAATTTTATTTGAATGAACTGATACTTATCATACCTTGCAAAAAGAACTGCTTGAATGCCTTTAAATTAAGCTGTGTGTGTATGAGAGAGACAGAGCGATTGGGGGTTACACCTGGGTCTCACACATACAGCTCGAGAACTCTCCCAGTGAGTTACATCCCCAGTCCAAATTATGCTTTTGAAAAAGGAAGTTTCTTCCATGTGCCCTCATAAACACTGTGTCCACGTCCTATCTAGACTCTGATTTCTCTGAGAAAGTGAAGCTGAACACACCTGCACCTTATGGTTAGATGTGAGCAGCAGGGGAGGGCCTCGGTCTGGAGCTTGCACACACATTCTGGCCTCAGTTATGCCGCTGACCTTGCGTGTCCTTGGGAGAATCTGATAGTGCTGAGCTTTGGTTGCCTCGTGCAAAGGGGGAGTGGCGCTCCTTGCCCGGGGTGGTTGTGAGGCTGGACGTGAAAGTTCATCATAAACTTACAAACACAGGCGTGTTCTGGGCACCTCAGAAGCCTGACACTCTTAGAATGATTTCTGGCACTGTCTTGTTTCTGTTCCAACGGTTTTACCCAATTGTCTTTTCACTTTGTTTTTTTTGAGACAGGGTCTCCCTGTAGCCACAGCTGGCCTGGAACTCACTAAGTAGACCAGGCTGGCCTCCATCTAGCAGTAATTCAGACATTAAAGTCAAATCTATACTAGGAATGGCTGCTTTTGGAAAATAGAACTTTAATAAACTAATAAAGAGTTGGAGGTAGAAGGTGAGATCCTGTCTGCAAGGCTTAAACTTCATGACCTCGAACAGGGAGCTAACCTCCACACCTCAGATTCCTCATCTGTTAAATGGCTATGCTGGGTCTTGTTTGAAAGTTTCTGGGAAACTTCAGATGTTGTGTGAAAATATCTTTAGAGCTATAGAGACATCCAACGTACATAATTTTGATTCTGCTTCTATGTTGATTATTTTTCTAAGAAGCCTGTAATATCTAGCTCAATTTTATTTGAATGAACTGATACTTATCATACCTTGCAAAAAGAACTGCTTGAATGCCTTTAAATTAAGCTGTGTGTGTATGAGAGAGACAGAGCGATTGGGGGTTACACCTGGGTCTCACACATACAGCTCGAGAGCTCTCCCAGTGAGTTACATCCCCAGTCCAAATTATGCTTTTGAAAAGGGAAGTTTCTTCCATGTGCCCTTATAAACACTGTGTCCACGTCCTGTCTAGACTCTGATTTCTCTGAGAAAGTGAACCTGAACACACCTGCACCTTATGGTTAGATGTGAGCAGCAGGGGAGGGCCTCGGTCTGGAGCTTGCGCACACATTCTGGCCTCAGTTATGCCGCTGACCTTGCGTGTCCTTGGGAGAATCTGATAGTGCTGAGCTTTGGTTGCCTCGTGCAAAGGGGGAGTGGCGCTCCTTGCCCGGGGTGGTTGTGAGGCTGGACGTGAAAGTTCATCATAAACTTACAAACACAGGCGTGTTCTGGGCACCTCAGAAGCCTGACACTCTTAGAATGATTTCTGGCACTGTCTTGTTTCTGTTCCAACGGTTTTACCCAATTGTCTTTTCACTTTGTTTTTTTTTGAGACAGGGTCTCCCTGTAGCCACAGCTGGCCTGGAACTCACTAAGTAGACCAGGCTGGCCTCCATCTCACTGAGATCTAGCTACTTCTGCTTCTCCAATGCTGGGATTGAGGCACACACCATCACCCCCGGCTCAATTGTCTTTTCAGATGCAGTTGCACACATATGAGAACATGTTGTTGAGGAAGGACGCAGCCATGGAAAAGGTAGGTCCTCTCCCCAAGATCCGAATACGACAGACTGCTAGCTCTGTCCAAATCCTGAAGGAGATGGCAATTTGTGTAACTCCACCCCTATTGAAAGATCTGACACTGTTATTAGGTATAAATAAGACTTTCCTTGTAGCAGACAGGTCACATTTATTTGGAGTAAGTTTGAACTAAACCCTAAATTCTGGTAGTGTTCATTCATATTGTGCAACATCAGGATACCAGTGTCTGTCACCGGTTAGCTGCCAGTGATGGAGTTTTGATTATAACAACAGGAGTGAATGCACAGCTATTCATTTTAGGGATGAGGAGGAACAGGTCCCCAGTTATTTGCTACCTGGCTTGACTCATTGATAGGTACAAGGATGGAAACTTATCCTTGCATCCTGTGACCATAGCCCACTCAGCAACTAAAGATGTTGGCTTCCTAAATGATGGCCAGAGTGGCTTCAAGAGACAAAGAGAGAACAATGCGTGAGTAAGCACGCACAGTAGGAATCCGTACAGAATCCGCACAGTGGTCATCCATACAGAATCCGCGCGGTGGGAATCCGTACAGAATCCACAGGGTGGGAATCCGTACAGAATCCACAGGGTGGGAGGCAGGCGTGAAGACGCAGTAGTCACTGCTTTTCCTTTTCTCGTGTATTAGAAAGTTTCCAAGGAGACGTTTGTAATTGTGGCCGGGATGCTGAGCACTGTACTAACTTGGCCTCCCATTTTTCTCTGTTTCTGATACTGTGACTGTGATCCCCACTTGGTTCCCCCAGGTCTCTGGTCTTTCCATCATTCTGCACTCCTACTCGGTGTTCATTAGATAGCAACTGGGCATTGCCCACGTCCCACTCACTGTGCCAATATGGGATAAAATAATGAGCACTGCTCATCACTTGTACCTGCTGGTCTTGTTTTGGTAACCCCCTTACTTCGTTTGGCTATTACTTGGCTATTCTTTTCAGAAGAATCTAAGCATTGAAGAACTGAAGTCAACCATCATAGAATACAGAAGTGTTATTGAGGTACGGCATGGTCTCACAGCTCACACGATGGGGTTGCCAACTCTAAATGTGGATTTCTCACTAGACTGATATATACAGCCCCGTGTGTGTGTGATTCCAGGATTTACGAGGGGATAAAGACAAACTGGCTCATGAATTACAGCACTTTCAACATGAACTCATTGTGTAAGTACAGAGAGGCTCTCGACCCTCTTCCTGGTCCTCTATGCTCTGCTACTGGTCCACGGAGCTGCACACAGGGCTTTACCTCTGCCCACTGCCTCTTCACTGCCTTTGTATGTTGAATTTTCTGTGCTTTTCTTCATGAGACCTTTATGAGTTTTCCATGACCCTTCCTGTCAGTCAGCCAGGGCTGCTTAACAAAACACCATGGGCTGGGTATCTAGGACAATAAACATTTTCTTCTCATGGTTCTAGAAACTTGAGGTCTGAGGTCAGGATGCTGTCAGGGTTGGGTTCTAGTGAGGATCCTGTTTCAGGCTGCTGGGTGCCAGCATGTTTCTATAGCTTCACATGGAGGATAGAGAGCTAGTTAACTCTGTGTCCTCTTTTTAGGAGGACACTAATCCCATCAATGATTGATTCACCCTCATGACCTCATTACCTTACAAATGTTCCACCTCCACATATCCTGGGAGTGAGTATGGTGCAGTGATAACCTCTTTCCCAGGATATCCATCCATCCATCCCTCCATCCCTCCATCCATCCATCATCCATCTATCTATCTATCCATCTATCTGTTATCCAGCTATCATTTATATCTATGTCTGTCATCTATCATCTATATCTATATCTGTCATCTACCATCTATCTATCATCTATCTATCTTATCCCTTATTGCAATAATTTGTTTCTGAGCATGAATAACTTACAAATTCAGGATCCACAGGAGCCATGGACGTAAAGCAATGGAATTTATGCACACAATGTTGTAGATGTTTGTGAGAAAGGCACAGTACTCACCTAGAACAAAGGAAGCCTCTTCCCAGCTCCAGCTAAACATTACATCAAGACCAGAGACCCATGTGCCTATATTGGAAGAAAAACCAGAAACCTAGATTCTTGTTGAAAGCACCCACTCTGTTGGTTCCAATTCTCTTTACGAAGTGTAACCTGCTGGATTCTGACCATCTGGAGTCACTAGTCTGCAGTTCCTGCAGGAAAGGAACTCATTTCTCCTCTAAGATTTATTTGCTCTCATATTTTAAAGTTTCAGCCTGCGTCCTTTGCCCTGCTGATCCTAGGGCTTCAGTAACAGAACATTGTGGTGGTGGGAACACCTGGCTGCAGTTGATGCCTCACAGTAGACAGGAAGAAGGAAGTGGAGGGAGACTGGGACCAGAGACCTGGGACAGCCTACAAAGACATGGCCCTAGTGAGGGTCTTCTCAAGGCTGGCCCCAAAGGTTCCACAACCTCCCCAGGTAGCACTGGCAGCTTGGGATCAAGTGTTCCACTGTGACCCTGTAGGGACATTTCATATCCAAGCATAAACTGATGGTTTGGTGGAATTCTCTCTATTGTGGTGACTTCAGTTGTGCTGGAGGCATGTTAACTAGGCTGAACTGCTGGTTTTTTTTATTTTTTAAGGAATGGGATCCAGCTGAATGACAGTGGACATAGCAAGAATATCGTCTCTGAAGAAGTAAAATCTTTACATGATGAGCTTGCTCTGGCCCAGACTGCAGAGGTGAGGCCTTGATAGTTAAGGGAAAATCTTACACTTATAGCTGACCCTAGACATAGCTTATGATTATGGAGGGTCCAGACTAGATGAAACCCACCCAGGACATTTTGAAGGTATTCTCCTGACAGCTTTTTTAGAATAAAGTTTCAGTTCTCTCAATCTGGGGGACTCTACACAAAGTTTCAAGCCCTGGTTAACTGAAGTATGCATTCAGTGAATTGGGACTTTAGAAATCTATTTGTGGTCTTTTCACACAGATCACCATCACCAGTCTCCACTTGGGATTCTAACGGTAGCAGTGGTGATCTGTGAGCTATGTGTTACTTTAGCTTAGTTTGTGGGTTTTTGTTCAGTCTTTTTGAGACAGGGTCTCTCTGTAGCCCCAGCTGACCTGGAACTCACTATGTAGACCAGGCTGGCCTTGATCTCACAGAGATCCACCTGCCACTGCCTCCTAAGTGCTGGGATTAAAGGCGTGCACCACCACGCCTGACTAAGACCAAAAATTTTTAAATGGTGAAATGAGTGGCTTCGTTAAAATCTAGGGTTTAGGGGCTGGGGAGATGACACAGCAGTTAAGAGCACTGGCTGTTCTGGCAGAGGTTCAGTTCCCAGCACCCACATGGCAGCTCACTATTCATTGCCTAGCTCCAGGGGACCTAGTGCCACCTTCTGGCTCCTGTGGGTACTGCATCCACAGGTGCACTTCCATACATACAGGCAAAATACTCAACAGTTAAAAATAAAAAGTAAAATTTTAAATGATGGGTGTTTTTTGTTGTTATTTTGGATTTGGTTTTTGGGGTTTTTGGGGGGTCTTTTTTTGAGACAGGGTTTTCCTGTAGCCCCAGCTGACCTGGAACTCACTATGTAGACCACGTTGGCCTTGATCTCAGAAAGATCTGCCTGCCTCTGCCTCCCGAGTGCTGGGATTAAAGGCATGCGCCACCACACCTGGCTTGGAGTTTGATTTTGTTTTGTATTTCAATAGACCTGATTCCTTACAATGTGGGAAGAAACAAAAGACTCCTTAGGGATGAAATGTTGCGACCCCTGTATTTATTCTTGTATTTTCCGGTTTTGTGCTCATTGTTAGGGAATGTTTTATCACATCGTCTCTTTGAGGGTCCCTCTGTGTCTGGATGAAGGATAGATGTGTCAGATGGCCTCCTGTAGGCAGCCAGGAACAGACCCTGGAGGCAGGAAGAATGTCTCTAGGGCAAATGCTGTTGGAACTGCTTCTTCTAGGGATGTGGAGGTGACATTGCTGCCTTTGGCTTTGACTGTGTTTCTGTGACATTCTGTTTCAAAGCCTTATGTCATTTCATGGTAGTTTTTGAAACCAAGACAAGCTACCAGACTGAAGGACGCTGTGACGAATGTGTCACAGCATGTGTTTTGATCCTCTGTCCTCTGAGATAATAATGATCATGTCGAGATGCCAGCCCAGAAAGTTCTATACTTCCAATCAGAGCTTCAGCAGTGGGCAGAATTCTGCCTCTGAGGTTTACCCTTGGTGAGTTAGGAAGCTTCACTTTCAGTTGCAGTCTGGAAACATCCTTGACTCTTTCCAACAGCCAGCCACGTGTCATGGTTGTATATCTTCCATGTGACAGGAGAGAGAGGCTGAGAGCCGATCAGGGAACATGCTTCCTGTGACATCCAAGCATGTCTGCTGTAAAAGGGAGACAAAGAACCTGACCTGTTTTCAGTGGGATCGTCAATTACCTGTTCTTGTTGGATGGATTGAGCACCTGCCTATAAGCTTTTCCCTCCTATGCATTTTAACTTTTTCAATTTTTTGCATAGAAACTGGAGCCACAATTTAAATTAACAGGTAGGTGGTAGCAACTTATCTATTCACAAGTGAGTTTTCCTTTAAGAGAAGATACGCATCCAGATGAAGCCGTTTTGGAGAGCAGATGCCCACTGTGCTTAGGATGTAATGAGCGAGCTCGGAACTGAGGGCAGTGACACTGAGTATTGTTTTCATAAACAAAAATTACAGTTTTTATTAAGATGACAGTTGAGGGCATTTTGGTAATTGTTTCCCCGCAACAGTCTAGACCTTCAGTGCAATTTCACCAGCTTGCCATTCTGGATACCACGACAAAGAAATGCAGCTTTTATTAAGAGCTCTGAGCAAGGAAGAGTGGAATTCACATTGACGCTTCAAAAGCAGGAACGCGGAAATACACGTATAGTAACAGTTTACTTTGGCTGGGAAGATCTGTAGATTGCTAACTCAATTAGTTACTTTTCTGTTGCTATGAGAAAACCATGACCAAAGAAACTAACAGAAGAAAGAGTTTATTGGGCTTATGTTTCCAGAGGGATGAGAGTCCGTCATGGAGGGGAGGGATGTGAGCCCATCATGGGGTTGAGGCATGATGGCAGAGGCAGTTGGAGCAGAAACCTGAGCACTTACATGTTCAGGAAACATCTGAAATAACGCAACCCCCAGGAATGTGCTGCTTCCAAAAAGGTCTCATGTCCTTAACCTTCCAAAACAGTGCCAAGTGTTCAAATATTTGGAGCCTGTGGGAGACATTTTTCACTCAAACCACCACACTGTCCCGCACTTTACTGATTGGATCCAAAGTATCAGGGTTCCATTGGGATCCAGATGAACCCTACCATGAGAATCTTTCCTAAAACCTTCCTGAAACTGGTCTGCTGGTTCTGGGTGACTCTTGACTAAGTGATGTATCTTCAGATACAGTGGTTTAAGTTGCTTTCGTGTGGGTTAATCTTTAGTGCCACAGGACTGTGGGGTCTTTCCTTTCTTGGTATTAGCTTTGGTTTTTCACTGGAAATTCTAGATGGTTGGAGAAATCCGACTACTGGCTTCATGTTTACATCTATAGTTTTTTTCAACAGAGCCTTGGGCCTATGGTAAGTTGCATGTAGTTGGATGGGTAGGGTTCAAATGGAGGACTGGAGAGATGATTCAAAGTGCTTGTAGCACAAGCATGAGGATCTTAAGGGGCAGGGACAGGTGCATCCCTGGGACCTGCCACCAGCATTCAGTGAGAGACCCTGTCTCGAGAGACTAAGCAGAGAGTGATAGAGCAGGATGGTTGATGTCATCCGCTGGCCCTTGCATATGTGATAGGTATGTACACCCACACACAGGTGCACATGTACCACACACATCCATCACACATGTATACCACACACAGATAAATTTAGAAATGAAAATGTTTAAATGGGCTTGCTTGTTATATTTGAAAGGCGGATGGAAGTAAGTAGGAATTGTTTTGGAAAACGATTCTCTCTGTACTTAACGTGTAGAATGACAACACAAATTCTTTCTCTCTCTCTCTATATATATATATATCACATCTTGGGGTAATTCATTGGGGAGCATTAGATTAAAGGAATTCTACCTAGCATGTCTATCTTCTTGAACTGACCTATTTGGTAGACATTTGTCTAAATTCTTACTATGCAATAGCATGTGCCTTTTACCTGAATTCCTGAGGTTGATGATGAGGAACGACATTTGTTTTTCTTTAGTATGAAGAAGTTTCTGAAATCGGAACTCTCATCGATCGCTCCCTACAGTGGGTAACTAGCCCGGAAGCTGCTGGGGAAGAAAACTGTGTGACGCAGCTCACCGTGAGTATTCTGTGCTTGGTGATTTTTTTTCCTGGCTTTTCTTCTACTTTGACAACACAGGAAATTCTCATTAGTTACAGTATCACCAAGTCTTCATTGTGGTCTTCTGCTGGCTTAGTCTAATGATTGCGTCTGCGGTGTAGATATGGAATGGGTATAAGACGGGAAGGATCAGTGTAAATACGAGTGACCAGGAAGAGAAGAGAATCAGAGCCCAGACAGCACCGGTGAATTGTGATAGATAAGAAATGAGACAGTTTTTTAAAAAGATGTATCATCATACATGTGTATATGTGTGGGGGAATGTATATCACATATCTTCAGGTGCCTGCACAGGCTAGAAGAGGGCATTGGATTTCTTGGAGGTGAATTTAGAGGCATTTGTGAATTGCCTTACATGGGTGCTGAAACCAAACTCGGGTTCTCTGGGAGAGCAGCCAGTGCTCTTAACCACTGAGCCATCTCCCCAGCCCCTAAGACAATTTAATGGAAACAAGATTTTATTTGAATCCTTGTGAAAGCTGAATAGTCTGAGTAGTTCCTTCACCTATTAAAAGTCCCTAACTTTGAATCAGTATCTTACTTTCCTGTCTCTGACAGCTTTATTATCTCAGAAAGCAGCAGAAGTTTGGAAAATGAAAGCTTAGGAAGCCATTTTCAGCTTGGTCAGAAAGTATGATAGACATCTCTCCTCTGTCCATCATCTCGTGGCTCTACTTCTTAACCCCCAGACTGCTCTCTGCCATCTGTTAACCCCCTACCAAACTCAGCTCAAGAAAATTAAACTGTAGAATATTATTTTCAACCCCTTTGTCAATCTACCATTCTAGACTTGTGTGTTTGTGTGAGTGTGTGTGTATCTGCCTATATGTATGTACATTACATGCACGTCAGTGTTCACAGAAGCCAGAGGGCGTCAGATCCCCTGGAGCTGGAGTTATAGACAGTTATGAACCACCTGATGGTGCTGGGAACTGAATTCGGGTCCTCTGTAAGAGCAGCAAGCACTTCAAGTAACACTGCACAGCTTGGAAAATCACACAGAATCTCTCTACAAAATGTCAAATTACAGAGGCTTTGAAGAAATTCAAGCTAGACCTTCATTTTAGGGAAGAGTCTCTGTCTAGGTGAGGGCCATTTATATACAAGAAGCCTCTTTGTTTTTTAAATTCACATTTATTTGTATTTGCATGTGGGTACATACATATGGAGGGCAGAGAACAGCTTACAAGGAAGGGTTGGTTCCCTTCTCCCACCATTTGGGTCCTAGGCATGGAACTTGGGTTGTCTGGCTTCGCTGCAGGCACCTTTATGGATTGAGCCATCTTGCCAGCCCATGAAAGCTCTTTTTTATGAACATGACATGCTTACATTTTGCTATGACACACAGCACTCTTTCTTCAAGGTGTGCCTGGATTTCAGATTACACTTTTTCAGAGAAGACTTTGTATTTGCAACCTGGAATTGGGAAGTAGCACAAGACGGACTGACACAGTCGCAATGGCAAGTGGTGAACTTTAAAATCTCTGGAATCAAGTATAAGACATTATTTCTCCCTAGAGAAATGAGAATTAGGGAATGTAGAAGTCTTTTAGTAAGAAGGGACATCGGGGAACCTTTAATGACATCATCATTTTACAAAGACTGAGACATAAGGAGGTAAATGGAGTGAATTTGGTCAAGCTGTAAGTTAAGCATGAAAAGTCTGAACTTAAGGCTGTCTGTTGAGTCCAACCCTGCTGGGAAATGTTCCACGTGTGTAAGGCATTGCCCTAGATGTTCGTCAGATTTCAGTTCAGGGAAAGATGGGGTTAGAGGTTGAATAACATAAAGGAACTTTCCATCTTATCCGTCCGCTTTCCTTAATTCTTATGAATCTGGGGGAAGGTCTTGACACTTTTGCATTTGCTAAACGTCTTTAAATAAAGTCTGTGACTGCATCTCTTGTTGACTGCCATTTATAGGACAGCCAGTACTGACCTTAACATCAAGTAAGAAATGCCTTTTCTTTAAAATATTTTATTTACTATTTTTATTTTATGTGTATGAGTGTATTGGCTGCATGTATGTAAGTACACCTGTGTTGTGCAATGCCTGCAGAGGGCATCGGATCCCCTAGAACAGGAGTTCTGGACAGTGTTAGCTGCCATGTGGATTCTGAGAATCGAACCGAGGTCCTCTGCAAGAGCAGATAGTCCTCTTAACGACTGAGCCATCTCTCCAGCCCCAGAAATGCACTTTGTTTCTTTTTGTTGAGATAGGTTCTCATGATGTAGTCATGGCTGGCTTGGAACTCACTGTGTAGACCACATTGGCCTTTAACTCTGAGATTCACCTGCCTCTGCATCCTGTGTGCCCTACCATGTGTGACTTAAGAACTTCTTTTTTTTAATCAACAGAAGAAAATGGGTATGGGTATGTGTTGAACAAAGGAGAGGGAGAGGGAGAGACTAAGCTTAAAATACCAAAATAGACAGGTTGAAGCCAGAAGGAAGTCTTGAGAAAATTATCTGTTTTTCCCCAAAGCAGGGAACTCTGACTTCCCCTTGGTGGTGAAGGCGTAGGCTGGGTGGACAAGCAGCTTCCCAACAGGTACATCATCACCACAAAAGGCAGCATCAGAGTCCTATTTAGCACCAAAGCACTTTTTAGAGCAAAACCAGCACTGGGGTGTCTCTGAATGACCCACCTGTTTTCCTAACAGACTCAGAGCAGCCCTGCTAAAGGATGTAGGTGGCATGTGACCAGATGCTGTTTCATCTGATAAATATTTGTCTCCAGAGATGGTCAGCGACTTGCCCGAGATCCCACCTGTGCTTGAGTGGCAGCTGGGGACTCAGCTGTCCCTGCCTCACTTCACAGCTGTTGGTCCCCACCCTTTCCTTGTTAAAATCTAATACAGGGCTGGAGAGATGCTCAGCAATTGAGAGCACTAGCTGCTCTTGCAGAGGACGCAGGTTCAGTTCCAAGCACCCACATGGTGGCTAACAACTGCCTGATTCCAGTTCCTGAGGACCTGATGCCCTCTTCTGAACACCTTGAGCATTGCATGCATAGGTGAACTTACATAAATGCAGGTGAAACACTAATACACTTAATAAATTTTAAAAATGGAATACAACATATATTTAAACATATTTTGGGAACGTGGTACAGGGAGAAATGTTTCCTACCCGTGTGAGGATGGTTGTAGTCACTGCCTCTGGGCAAGATTCAAATCAGACAACTACACAGACGTCACACATCAAGTGACTTGACAATGGATTTTAACTGTGGTTAAGAGAATGAGAGGCATTATTTTTGTGAGGATGAGAGATGTCTGTGTTTAGATGAGGCAGGGATGTATCGGCTTTGTGACACACGCCCTCCAGGGCTGAGGACAGGAGATTTCAGGGTGTTCAGGAGAACAGTGGATGAAAAGAGTATCAGAGAATTTGGTGAGGAGCACGTACAATCTGCAGCGTTCATCTGGTCTGTGCTCTGCCCAGCTGCCAGTTTTATTTTTTGTTGTTTTGTTTTGTTTTGTTTTGTTTTGTTTTCTCCATAGCTGCTGGGCGGGAAATAAGGCGGAGATCTTTGCCTCTCAAGAACTAACAGGTAGTAAGGGTCACAGATAATGAACAAATAAATTTGTAATTATATAATGACAGAAAGTGATGGTACATAAGAAGAAAATTAAAACAAAATAGGAAGATAGACTGTCACAGCAGGGGACCTAAGTTTGGAAAGGATGGGTGTGTATAGTGCCCTCGGAAGCCAGAAGAGGACACTGGAGCCCCTAGAGTAGGAGTTATAGGTGGTTGTGAGCTGTCCAACTTGTGTGCAGGGAACTGAACTCAGATCCTCTGGAAGAACAGCAAGGGATCTTAACCACTGGGCCAGTTCTCTAACCCTGACATGGTTGTCCTGTATGCACAGGGTTGAAAGGAGTGGATAGAGAACCGGGGGAAGTTGAGGGGTGATCTGGGGAGTGTTCTCGGTAGAGGAAATGACTCACAAAGACCCCTAGGTTGTAAGACCTTCGTGTGTTTTAGCAGCAACAAGGAGCTAGCATGCCTGGGGGCAGGACGTGCATTCCAGAGAGGCAGGGTCATGTCACATGCAGCCTTGCAATCGCATTTCTGAGTTGGAATTTTATTCTGAGTGGTGAGAAACCATTTATGAGCAGACACGGGATGCCCTTCATTGCATTTTTATTTTTATTTATTTATGTAAAATATTTTTATTTTGTGTATATGAGTGTATTGCTTGCATGTGTGTAAGCGCACCCACATCATTCAATGCCTGCAGAGGTCAGAAAAGGGGTTTGGATTCCCCCGGAACTGCAGTTACAGACAATTGTTAGCTGCCCTGTGGATTCTGGAAAGTAAACCTGGGTCCTCCGTAAGAGCAGCCAGTGCTCTTGATCACTGAGCCGTCTCTCCAGCCCTTCATTGCATTTTTAAAGATTTGCTGGGTGAAGGGTTGTCTTTAAGAGGGAAAGTAGTGAGGCCCAAGGGAAGAGTATTACAACAGCATGTTACCTACTGGAGAGCCTTATAAAGCAATTTAGTTGATCATGACCCATTATTTAACCAAAAAGAATGAAATTTTCAGAGTACACTGCATAAGAGAAAGTAATATTTAACAAAATGTTTTTTTATTATTATTATTATTTGTGTGGTGCTTCATCAGAGAAGACCACTTAAAGTTTTGCTGAATGAAAGTCTTGCTGGCCAGCGGCTACACATGAGTGTTGGAATCCAAGTGTGTAGCCCTGAGCCATCTCCAGGACAAGCTTTTATACAGAGAAACTGTAAGCGGGGGTGAAGGTTTAAGTTCCCAAGCTTAGAGATGCAAAGCCCCCTTAACAATTTCTATTCTATTGAGCGACAATTTTGCAGAAGCAAGCCAAGCATAACTTACAGAAGCCATAAATTTGCAGTTAGCAGGTGCACTCCAGGACACATTGACCTGTTCCCAAGACAACTAGGGACCTGCTGAAATAGTGTTCCTATACCCTGGGACAGGCTGCCTGATAACTTCAGAGGCCAGAGTCAACCTAAACCTTAACATGGTGCAGCTATGGTCAAGAAGGTGCCCTATCACATTTTTTTTTTTTTTGAGACAGGGTATCCCTGTAGTTCCAGCTGGCCTGGAACTAGCTATGTAGACCAGGCTGGCCCCACAGAGATCCGCCTGTCTCTGCCTCCTGAGTCCTGAGATTAAAGGCATGTGCCACCACACCCGGCTACAAATTTTTTTTATTACTTTATTATTTTTATATTATGTGTATGAGTGTTATGCCTGCATGTAGGTAAGTGCACCCGTGTTGTGTAATGCCCACGGAGGCTGTTGGATCCCCTGGAACTGGAGTTACGGACAGTTGTTAGCTGCCATGTGGGTGCTGGGATTCGAACCTGGGTCTTCTTCAAGAACAGTCAGTGTTTTTAATTGCTGAGCCATCTCTCCAGCCCGCCAAAATATTTTTTAATCTCAACTATGTGTGTGTTAAAATATAAAGTATTCAGGAGGCAGAGGCAGGCGGATCTCTGCAAGTTCGAGACCAGTCTGGTCTCCATAGTGAATCCAGGACAGCTGGGGCTACAGGGAGACCCTGTCTCAAAAAGACCAATAAATAAATAAATAAATAAATAAATAAATAATAAAGTATTTATTGATCATGCTCAAAAAAGGATATAGGTTTGAATGGAGAGATGCCATGCAGTTAGCTGCATTCTAATGTCCAGCGGAAGGGGGTTCTGTGAGCCCGGTGATACCTTGGGAGGCAGGGTGTTTGAGCTGGTTGGGGGGGGGGTCATGTGAGCCACGTGATAGCTGTGAGCACAGAGATGTTGCACTAAAACTGGTCGTGAGGGTGGATCACACCTGACCTGTCCATAGAGTATAGACACGGGGCATTCAATAAAGACCGCAGGCATCCTTGATTTAGAGGTTTGTTCTAGAAACTAGTTATGCTCTGAGATGCAGACCAGGCAGGGCTAGGACAGAAATCAAGACTTAGCATTAAGACATCAAGGAGAGTTGTTGAGCTTAGAAACCCAAACTTATAGTTGGGGTATATATCTCTTAACATAATAGTGACAATTGCTGTGGGAGAAAAATCTTCAAAGATTCAACATCTGTTTCAGATCTTTAACAACTATTGTAATTGTTTTTGAATTGCTATTTCAAAGTCTTAGAGTCATAAAATACAGAAATCATTTTCTTACAGATGGAACTACATCTAAGTGACTGAAAATTTTATTTTTGAGACAGGGTCTCCCTGTAGCTGCAGCTGTCTTGGACCTCTTTATGTAGACCAGGCTGGTCTTGATCTCACAGAGATCTGCCTACCTCTGTCTCCTTAGCGCTGGGATTAAAGGTGTGCGCCACCACGCCCGGCAAGTTCAATATTATAAATATTATAAATATTGAACTTGCTTCCTTGTCCTTTCACTTGGAAAAAAAACTTTCTTGAGGCTATTCCTAAAACTGGTATCTTAGAAATAAACAAACCCAAACCTGGCCTCTAATCCCAACACTTGGGAGGCTGAGGCAGGAGGATCATGAGTTTGAGGCTAGCTTAGTCTGCATGCGGAGATGCTAGCTTAGAAATAAAAAACAAGGAAACAAGCAAAACCAGATGTCAGCATGGTGTAGAAGCAGCAGCCCTGGGACCCCCCTTCCTTCCAAGGAAATACTGTCACCAGTAATAATACATGGACAAGTTACTTTCTGAAAAATCCAGACGCCATTTGAGAGTTTCCTGCACTCTGAAACTAGCCACCTCAAGACTAGAGAGAAATTGAAGACACCCTCCCCATAACACCTGTTAAGTGATTAGAAGGAACCCCCAAGTCTTAGCCCCTCTCCTGTGAGTCATACCAAGTGTCTAACATTCCAGCAATTGGAGGAAGTTGCTGAGGGTTGTGTCTCATTTGGGGAGAGCTGATAGGACCTGGAGAGCTTCAGATCCCTGGGGGCCACTGAAGACTAGCATGCAGGCACATGCACTTGCAGAGCCCTTCCCCTAGCTCAAGGGGAAACAGAGGAAACCAAGATCCCACCTTCTCACCGGAGATGAGAAGCTAAACGAGAGCTTGGTCACCCATCCAATGCTCCAGCTTTCTGGGGAACACATCAGGAGATCAGCTTCTCTTTCACCTGCCTCAGCTTATTTATGTGACCCAGAATAATCTAGATCTTAGATGCTGTTAAGAAAAAAATAATGGTTTGGACTAATGCGAATGTGTGAGAAGCCGGCAGAATCTCTATTGGCACAATTGTGGGATTTCTTTTATATGAAAGAGAAATGGGTTAAAGGACACGGAGAAAAACCAGAGCAGGATTCATGGGATACCATCAAGCTGCATAGGGTGTTTACTTCTGAAGTCCTGGAGAAAGTAAGAGAGGGACAGAAAAGCTGTTCAAAGAAATAATGACCAAATTGTTTCACAGAAGTGCAGAAGGAAATAGGTACCCAGATTCAAGGTGCCCAACTAACCCCAAATAAGGCGCATCTAAAGAGATCCACACGGGACACACATTATAGTCAAATTTTCAGAAGACAGAACATTGAGGGCAGCAAGATAAAAGCAACTCATCACATAAACAGACATCATAAGACTTGGCAAATCTAGCAGGAACCTTGAAAACCAAAAAAAGTATGAAATGATATATAAAGTATAAGAATTCAATGCTGGGCAAATCTGCCCATAAGACATAAAGGAGAAAGACTTCTGGACAAAAGCTGAGAGTCTCACCACCAAACCTACATATATATATATATATATATAATTTATAACTTATGTGTATGAGTGTATTGCCTGCATGTAAGTGTACTTGTGTTGTGCAATGCCTGTGGAGGTCAGGAGAGGGCGTTGGATCCCCTGGAACTGGAGTTAAAGACAGTTGTTAGCTGCCATATTGGTGCTGGGATTTGAGCCCGGGCCACCTGTAAGAGCAACCAGTGCACTTACCACTGAGCCACCGCTCCAGTCCTGTACCTGCTCTGTAAGAAATGCTGGAGAGAATTCAAGTTAAAACACAGTGCTGCTGAGCAGAACGCAACCAGAAGAGTGAACATCCGTCAGCCTCAGAATGCTCGAGGGGAGTGGGTAAATCAGTCAATTCTAGTAAAGGATCAAAAGCCAGAGTATGTTAAGTAGCTATAAAGCATGTTAATACACAATACAAAGGGTGTAAATTGTAGTATCAGTAACATTAAACTGTGTGGAGAAGTGAGATGGCTGAGAATCGGACCCTTGTGTGGGGATAGGGAAAGCAGTGTGGAGTTCCATAAAACACAAGAATAGAATTACTGCATGATCCTGCAATCACATTTCTGGATATTGATCTAAAAAAAGAAATGGAATCAGGAGATGAGAGACATCTGCATTCCCATGTTGTGGTGGTTAAACTGCTAACTTGACAGGGACTTGAGACTCTGGGCACATCTATGAAGTATTATCTAGATGGCATGAGGTGGGAAAATTGACCCTAAATGACAGTGGTGGCACCATTCCATGCACTGAGGTCTCCGACTAAGTAGAGAAAAGCTGAGTACCAGCACTCATCACTCCCTGCTTCCTGAATATGGATGCAAAGTGATCAGCTACCATACTCTAGCCACCACGACCCCTATGATGGACCGTATCCCTTCTAACTGTAAGCCCAAACAAACCCTTCATCCCTTAAGTTGCTGCTAAGCAGATACTTTGTCATATCCACAAGGACAGTAACTGACACGTTTACCATGGCATTTTGTAAGCAAGAGGCAGAAACATGTCTGTCAAGCTACAAAAAGACAGAATGTAGCATCCAGTAACTGAGAAATGGAAGCCACCTAGTGGTCCATCAACAAATGGATGCACCTGCTGCGTGACGTTGTATGTGTATAGTTAACAACAGTGTACTGTACACACATAGATCTTGTGCTAGGAATGCAGCTCAGTTGGCAGCATGCATAGCATGCACAAGGCCTTGGGTTCAAGTTCAGTCCTCAGTACCGCAAACTGGATGTGGTGGCGCGTGCCTAGTCTCAACACTAAGGAGGGTTAGAAGTTCAAGGCCGAACTAAGCTACTTAGGAAATCCGATGCCAACCTGGAATACATGAGACATGTCTCAACAGAGGGGCTGGAGAGATGACTCAGTGGTTAAGAGCACTGGCTACTCTTGCAGGGGACCCGGGTTTGGTTCCAAACACCCACATGATGGCTAACAACCATCCATGACTCTACTTCTAGGGAACCTGACACACTCTTCTGTTCCCCTTGAGCATTGCACAACAGGGCTGCACTTACATAAATGTGGGCAAAATATTCCTATACATAAAAAATTTAAAAATAGAGTATAGATCTTTTACTAAGAATAGATTGTAGATACTTACAAGAGTGTAGGCATCTTAATATGACTTTCAGTAACTGTCCTTCATACAGTTAGAAGGTGACTTCTGATTCTTAAGTGACCAAAGGATGCCCAGCATGTCAAGTGGTACCCCGGGTAGCTTTGAGGAATACCTTTGCTTGTGTGCATGATGGTGCACAGGTGTGGGACTGTTCTTGCCTCCATCATGACCTGATTTACACAGGTGCATAGTGAGATTCTGTGTTAACATTAGAGAGACAAGGGTCCCAAGTGGGACAATGATTGACAGTTCCAAAGGAGAAAGGCTGAGGTCACAAGACCTCCCCCAATCTCTCCTTTTCCTGAAACAGACTTTATTTCTTCTCTCCATCCCTCTTTTCTTCTGTGAAAAGCTGGTAATTGTGCATCAACATTGCACCTGTCACCCTGACCTCACTGTGGGGCATCCCTCCAAGCAGGCAACTCCTGAGTGTGTGAGGAGCTGGTCATACCAGGGTCAGATAGGAAACCACATGCCTTGCTCATCTGTGAAACAAAGGCCTAGGATCACTGGGATTGTGTTTCTACAGAGTCCAAATGCATGTAAATACTTTCACTTTTTTTCTGTTATCTCTAAGGAAGTTTAAATTTGAGTTTATCACAAGTTCCCTGAGTGACTCTTAATTGAAATGTCACTGACAGCTTGTGGTTTGGGGTGTTTGTTTTTTTTTCCTTCTCCCTCCCACCCCCCTTCCTTTCTCTCTTTCAATTTAACTGTAGACAGAAGCAACTAGAACTCTTTAAACAGCTTCAAGATGATGCTGTCAACCAGGAAGGAGGCCTCAGAAAGAGGCGCCAAGAGGCTGGAGGGTGCAGAGCCAGAGGTGGGGCGGCCTTGACTAAAGTCTGCTCAGAGGCCCTTAAAATGTGAAGTAAAAATGAAGGAGGAACATTAAAAAAAAAAAAAAGAGGAACCGCCAAGGAGTCCCAGGAGGCTGCAGTGAGGGAGGAAGGGCTGGGGGAGCTGTAACAGAGGCGTGTCAACAGCCTGCTGATGAAAGAGGGCACAAACAGGCGGGCTGGCGTCTCAGGACTTCCCTGGGGTGGAAGGAGGTAACAGGCGGAGCCCAGGCTTATCAGTTCTCTGAGAAAAAAAGCAGATTTCCAGTTTGGGGCACTGAGCGCTTGGTCTGCCTGGCCACGCTGCTCAAACCGGCCTGAACTGTTTGTAACACAGGTGAAGGATCCAGATGAGGCCAGTGAGGGAGCGGAGTCTTTCCTGCATGAATTAGAGGAAGGCCTTCCAGAACGGAACCTGCAAACTAAAAGCACAGCATCCCCCAGGCCTGGCCAGACACTTGAGCAGAAGACACAGACCCTGACGAGTAAGTGGCAATATCCGCATCCCAATTCATGTTATCCGGTAGGGCCGAAGGACTGTTTTCTAGACCCCAGCCGTTGTGACTGTATTCAGTGGGAGGTTTAGGAAGGCAGTACTGTGGGGCTTCTAGAAATCTCTGCCTAGGGGCTAGGACCGTGCAGGAACATTGACCTCCTTCCTTGGTTGGTTGTGCTGGATTTGTCCCATGAGCATTTTCTTTGAAAATGAAACAGACTAGGGTTTTTAGCCCAGTTGGCAGAGCACTGGCCTTACATGCAAGATTAGGCAAAATAATTATGAATTCTATGAGTAGCAATATTGATGTATATAAACTTGCTTTAAAATTTTTAATGTGTCCTTCATATGTGTGTATATAGTTATACGCACTTTAGTTTGCTTCTTGTAACAAAGTCTTGCTGTATAACCCTGGGGACCCTAGGACTCGCTGTGGCGACCAGGCTGGCCTCAAATTCACAGAGATCCTCCTGCCTCTGCCTCAGGAGTGCTGGGATTAAAAGCATGTGCCACATCTGGCTACATACTTTAATTTTAAAAATTGGAGTATTTGGAATTTTTCTGTGTCAGCCAAAAGTGTGTAAGTATTTACTAAGAATTATGGGAAGACAGCTGTCAAATGACCAGTGTCAGATTATTTATAAACCTACTTTATTCTAGAAACACAGAACAGTAAAAAATAAAGCTTATTTACCTAGCCACTTACCAGACAACTGATTTTGTTCAGTGGACTTATTTTAGCACACGCATCTTTTTATAGAAAGTTATTTGGTTTGAGTAATGAGGAGATCAGAGTTTAAGGTGGGGCAGAGATGGAAACTTTCAGGCTCGTGTTCAATTTGATTCCATTTCTACTTTTGATAAATCATCTTAAGAGCTTAAGGAATTATCTTGTTTTAGAATAGCAATGGTTGGTCAATATTCTGTTATTTTAAAGATTTATGAGCCTATCCTAGTTTGTTTCTTCATTGCTGTGACAAAACACTCTGACCACTACCAACTTGGGGAAGAAAGGGTTTATCTGTCTTACATCTCCCGGGTCGGGTCACAGTTCATCAGGGAGTCCAGGGTAGGAACTCAGGGCAGGAACCTGGAGGCAGGAGCTGGAACACAGGCCATGGAGGAACGCTGCCTACTGGCTTACTCCCCTGGCCCCTGCTCAGCCTGCTCTCTTATACAACACAGGCCCACCTGCCCCACCACCCACAGTGGGCTGGGCCCTCCCACATCACCATCAAGAAGCTGCCTCTCAGACATGGCCACAGATCAGTCCTATGGAGGCAATTCCCCAACTGAGGCGCCCTCAACCCGGGTGTGTCAAGTTGACACTAAAGGTGTCCAGCACAGAGCCTAACGATTTTCTGTATTGCCGAGAGCCAGTTTATTTTGATTCTCTGTCAGCAATTAAGCTTTAAAATCACAAAGTCTCCACATTGTTGGTCAGAAGACACTAGAGAAGGTTCTTCTGCCATCAGAACTGCTCACATGGAGACAGGATGGCCAAGAAGTCCCAATTTGGTATAAGATATGTCTATTTTGGACACTGTACTTAGAGGACTAACCCATTTATAGATCTTTTCATTAAACCAATATTACTATTGCATAGTTTTATGAGTGAATAAGAATTTGTGCCCCCCCCATGTATATGACTGTATATTCCTGCATGTGTCTAAGTGCACCTGTGTCATGTAATTCCCTCAAAGTCAGAAGAGGACATTGGATTTCCCTGTAACTGGAGGTACAAATGATTGTTAGCCACCATGTAGGTGCTGGGAATCGAACCTGGGTCCTCTGCAAGAGTAGCCAGTGCTTTTAACCTCTGAGCCATCTCTGCAGCCCTGAGAGTTGAATTTTATAACTTATCCTGAAATGAATATTCTTGAGTTTTCAACCTGTTTAAACTTATCTTCTGGGGACAACTGGTTCAAATGTTATTAAAAGTAGTTGCCCAGGTTTGAATGTATGCATTTTTTTTCCCTGTCTGGATAAAGTAGGGTAGACCCTTCCTTTCTGTCTTGAGTTGCTCAGAAGCAGCCTGGATTTAAAAAATCCACACTTGTTTGTACTTTTCTAAAGAGATCATACCTATGAGAATTTTGCCTATAAGAACATTTTCTTGTGAAGCTCTTTCTCAGACAGCTCTTAAGATCAACCTTGGGAGGAAGGGCGATTCAGTTCATGTCTTCAAAACTATCTGTACAGCAGGCAGACTTGGGACAGGCACGAGGAAGGACAGTTGTCACCCAAACCTCCCCCTACATTGACCACTGCCACTCATCTTCCTTATTTGAGTTCTGAGTCAGAAAAGAAAAAATATTCACAAGTCCTTAGCTCCTCTGAAGTCCTCTGGCTAGTTTAATAAATCAGCAATTGCTTTCTGCCCTATCTCGGAAGATTTGTTTGCCAGCTGTGGAGAATGTGGGTTTTCCCAAACGTTCAGGCGGATGGTGACCTGTGGGATATGCAGGAACTAGAAACAGGAAGTTGCTAACGTTTGATTCAGCACCCCGAGCTTCACGTTAAGAATCTTGTCAAAGTTTTCTCTTGGCAGCAGAGCTGGTTGGAATGTGACGTATTGGTGGGTACGTGTCTCTGTGAGCTGCACCATCAGAACTGTTAAGCGCTTGAATGGTTGTTTATATTTTTTCTTTAATTATATCTAAGTGTCTTGTGACCACTTGTATTTCTTCTTTATGTCTAAGTTTCTTGTTATGTTGGTAGAAAATACTGTATTGTTTCATTATTGTTGCTTTTTAAAAATTTTATTTCTGGGAGTCCCTTTGGCCACCCTGGCCATCAACTCAAAAGAAGGTATCTCCTATCTGGCATTGTTGCTTGTTATGTAGCCTTTAGCTATGCATATGGACTCTTAAAAAATTATATTGGCCCCTTTAATCTTTGATTATACTTTCCTTTTGGGTGTTTAAGGCCATACAGTTGGCCCAGATAAACCAGTTAAGGAAATGCTTCTTCTAATCATGTAGTTATTAAAATTTTTTTAAAATTTTTATTTCTATGAGATGAGAGTTTTGCCTGCATGTATCTAAGTGCACTCCTGGAAGGTTGTTAGCTGCCATGTGGGTGCTGGGAACCAAGCCCAGTTCCTCAGCAGGAGCAGTCAGTGCTCTTAACCACTGAGCAGTCTCTCCAGCCCCTTGTTTGTTTTGTTTTTTTGTTGTTGTTGTTGTTTTTGCAACTGGGTCTGATACAGCTCAGGCTGGTCTAAAACTGGCTGTGTATCCAAGAATAACCTTGAACTCCTGATCCACCACCTGGGTGCTGAAATTATAGGTGTGAGCTATCATGGCAATATTGAATCATCAGTGGTTATTCGTTTTGAGAAGGAAATCTAAAAATACCCCTGGATGGAGGGTATGCATACAACATATTAAATCAGGCACTTCTTACCTACAGGAAATACATAATTGAGCTAATCTGGGCTTTTTGTTGCTCTTTACCTCTCTTGCCCCTATCTGATATGGAATCTTCATGGGGTCACTTATTTAATATAGTGAGAGGATGACCTTTAGGAACCCATGATATTTCTTGGGGATGTTTTGAGATGTTCCTGTATAATGTCATTCATTATTTAAACACGCAGCCTGCATGTGAACTTCATAGGTTAGATAGCAAAGACTTTCCACTGAGCTGTTTCATAGAAGACTCTTCTAGATGACTTCTCTGAGCATGGAGGGCAAGAGGTATGGGAGAGGAGCCACCTGAAGGCTCTGAGGAGGGATGCCACATGAGTTGGGTCATCAGAAACTAGTGGGACAGTGGCTGAAGAAAGGGGGAGCCAGGGTGCCTGAATCACTCAAAGACGGAAGGTGCTGGCAATGGAGTGTGGTGGTCCATGCCTATCACCCCCACACTGGAAAGACTGATGCAAAAGGAATGTGACTTCAAGGCCAGCCTTGGCTACTTGGCAAGGTCCTGTCTCAAAAACAAAAGATGGAAAGTGTTGGGTTAGTGATGAAACAGAAAACAAACGCCAACCAGAGCTTTCCCAACAGCTCTAATAAGAAAGCCAGGGTTTCCGAAATGAAAAACACAGATGTAGGGTTGATGAGATGGCTCAGAGGATAAAGGTGCTTGCAGCCCAGCTGGACAACCCAAGTTCAGTCCCCAGAACTGGCCTAGTGCAAAGGGAGAAGCAATTCTCACAAGATGCCTTCTGACCACCACATGCACACTGCAGAGTGTATGCACATATACATATAAAGCAAATAAATTTAAAAAAAGGAATATGCAGGTGTAGATGAAATGATGTAGACAGTATGGTTGTTCAAGAGCATGGGGTTTGAAGTTAAACCAACCTGAGTTAAGAATCTAAGTCTACCAGAGGGTAGCTGGCAAGACTGGGCAAGCCAACTAACTGCTTTGTGCATCCTGATCTTTGGAGGGCAGTTTCTGGGAATTACCCAGAAGAGACGACGGGAAAAATAGCAGTTGGGGCTCCAGAGGTTGGCACACATGTTCTGTTGGAGTGGCTTGGGGAACACGTGTCCCTTCCTTTCCAATCGGTGTGTATGGGATGACTTTGCTTTGATAGGAAGCTCCCATAATCTAACAACCATCCTGAAAATGGGATCAGGGATGGAACCCATCAAACAATCAACTTCAACATAAAAGCACAAAGGCCTTTGACTTGGCTGTTGAATAGGTGGTGGGAGCTGGTTCAGTGGATTTGTGAGAAAGTTATGAACAAGTCTCCACACCCAGGGCTTCCTCTCCCCACTCAACCCCAGCCTCACAGGGATCTCCATTAGTGATGGAGATCTCCATTAGTGATCTCCACAGCCTGCTTCTCCGGATTCCACCTCCTCCTGCCCCGGATTCCACCTCTTCCTGCCCTTCCTCAGCACCGAATCAGCCCTGTTCTGCTTAGAGAGGCACCAGCATGTCTACTGTTACTTTTGCGAGTTTCTGACATTCTTTGAGACCTTCTAAGATGCATATATGCATTGTCCATGTTCTGTCCTTGGGTAC